CAGGAATGATGTAAACAGAAGGTTTTTTTCCTTTCAGGTTTTCAGTATAATCTTTCTCTTGGAGATGTTTTGTGGAATCCACATGCTGTGAGAGCAGAACTTGAATCCAGGTTTGGTTTTGATGCTCTTCGTGTTGAGAAGCTGCTAACTTACACAGCACAATTAACAAAGGTAAACCTCTTGAAAAGTCCATTGTCTCTCCTTTTTATCTTTCTTTTATTTTTACCCTTTAAGGGATTTTTCATGCCTTACAGAAGCTCTAGTTGTATCTTAGATTTGTGAAACAGCTACAAGTCTGCTAAATATCCTGACTTCATTCCCATAAAAATAAATGTATTTAGCTTCAGTCTGAACTTCTGCACATGAAGATGCTGGTAGGTGTAGTTGTGTACGTTAATTAATTTATGTTTCTCTCAAGTCACCACTGGTTATGATAAAGTTCTGAGTTTATTGTTCAATTCTGTAAAGAATTCTGGGGTTTGTTCCATTAAACTTTTAAATTAGATCCTAGATTTGAAGGTGCCTGGATTAGTTTGGCATGTAGCATTTTTAATCCAGTTTGCTGGACAAAGAATGTCTGTCCTTTTGTGGGTAATTTAAGACACATTGAGAGTAATTTCTTTCCAATTGTGCAGTCTTGATATGAATGTAATTGACTGATGAGTTGTCTCAGTGGGGCTATTCAAATATATGAGCTACTTGTCAAATTTTGAAGAAAATGTCTTTTTTTAGGGGGATGGCTTATTACCATTAACACTGAAGGGGTCTGTTGTGACAGTTTGGTTTGAACTGCAGAGAACTTGAAACACCTTTTGAATTTTTACTGAAGTCCACAGTTTTTTAATAGAACATGATGGTATTTATATGAAATCTGTTTGCTCTTTGCCAGGTACAGTCCAGAGTTGTACTCCAGGAGAGCTCATTGTAAAAATAGCTGATTTGCATAAAGGGACTTTTGAGTGGCCTATCAACAGAATTTAATGGAATGTCAATGATGGCCAGTTTGAACAACTGAACTGAATTTTACTGCAGCCTTTTAGCTATGGTTGGCTGTATAATCCCAGGCCACTTGCTTCCTAGCTATTCATAGGTTAAACAAATATCTTGATATTGTATGCTTGTGTTAGGGCATTGAAGACCCTCAAAAAGTATGAAAAGAAATATGGCAGAATGGAAATTATCTGTTCTAAGCACTTGAAATCTGTATGTAATGCCCCAGCTCATTTGGTGCAAAACTTTCTGCATCAGTATATTTCAATACATTTTTGAGTCACAGCTGAAAGGAGTTAGGATGTAAAGTATCTCAGAAAGACATTAAAAGAGAGAATTAAAATGTACTAAATTATTTTTGAAAGTTTTAATAAAAACAGACAAGAATAATTTTGAAAAAAACTTATATGACTTGGAATAATCTTTCAACACAGAATTTAGAAGTCAGGCTATGAGGAAAAAATTCTGGCCTCTTGGCCACACTCCTGAAACCTGGCAACTTCAATTTAACACTAGTCTGCTGTGTGTAATCATTGGTTGAGAAGTACCATTGTACTGAATGTTTTTCACATCTGTAATTTTTATGTTTTATGTGAACTTGCTTTGCTACAGCCATCCTAGTGCAATATTCTAGTGTAGGTGTAGTGTATAATTGTCAACATAGTTCAGCATCAGCTTGCAAATGACTGTAGAAGTAGCAACGCTGCTGTAGCTGCATGGTGAAAATTCCTTGCATATACAAGTATCATAATTCTGTCTGGTGTGTGAGACCCCTAATGGACCAGTAGTATTTTATACAGCAGTCTGTATGTGGTGTACTGTGAAGTAAGTGCCCCGGAATATGAGGCTGGATTAAACAGGCTTTGTTCATCCTGAAGGAGGCCACGTGATACTCTTTTTATTTTTTTTTATTATTTTTTTTTTCCACCAAATAAGTAAGTTGATAGCAGAGATAACACTCAGCAGCTCTCTTGAGTTGATCCTCAGTTTCTTATGTCCCTGCCAGATTCCCACAGGAGAGACACTGGAGCAGTTTGTGTGCTCTGCTCTGTCCAGTGAGCCAGAAGGTGAAGCAAACAAAGAGAATAATGAAGAAGGCTGTATTTCTGCATTGCATGAGGCCAAACTGTATCTTGTTCATGCTGTCAGCAAGCTCAGGCTCTATGCACAGGTACATTTTAATAAGTTGATAGATTAAATTCCCTGATTTTGCATGTAGGCTGTCAACAGTAACTCAGTTAACAGATCTGAGTTAGCTATTAAATGTTATTGTCATGAACTTTTTTCATTTTGCCAATAAGACAAAGTAATCCTTATAGGGAAACCTTACAATGCAAGTATAATCTATCATTATGTGTCTACTTAATCAGATTTTCTCATTAACTCAAATACAGATTTGAAATCTAATAGGGAATATAGAGAAATATACTGCACTGTAGAGGTCTGATAGAAGGAAAACCCATTTACTGTCCCACTTGAGCATGAATTTTCAGCAAAAGTGAAGGGACACTGCACGCCTCCACTTATGTAGTATACAAGTCATTTATTTTTGATTCCTATTCACTCTGGTGCTAGTGGCTGAAGTGTGTTGAAAGGGATAAGAGTAAATCTCAAGTATAGCATCTTAAAATTCTGCTCTGGCAGAACAGCTTGGCATGCAGCCTCTATGGTGACATCTGTGTAGTTATGTGGAGAAAATAGTTAACCATTCATATGTTTCCTAAGGAAAACATTTACCTAGCTGCCTTGATGCCAGTGTTTGTTCTTCTCTGAAATATATATATATATATTTTTCCATTAAAAGTATCAGCTCTGTGTCAAGCGTCTCTGGAGGTGTTTGCAGTATCATCTAAAGAAAGCTTGTCGAGCTTATTGTGTATTTCCTCAAAAATTTAGCCCTTGATTTCTCTCTTGATAAAGATTTCAGTGAAATTTGATGACTTGAATTAATAATTTAATGTGATTGCCAAAACTAATTCACTAATTCCTTTTCTAGCCATAGGAAAATTCCATAATAATTTCATCCAAGATTTAAAAACACTTAAAATGAGGGCTGTCATCCTTATGATGCCAACTTGAAGTACTGTAAGCTACTGGCCACTGGGAATTAATTCCCTTGGTGAACCAGACATTTCTTGTAGCAAAAATCTCCGACAGTCACTTGGAATTAAAAAAAATGTAACGATGGAGTAAAGGACAGTAGTCAGTAGGTTTCGCCAGACCTTGGTGTGCCTTATTCTAGGCTACACAAAGGGAGCATGCAGGGTCCTTCTCTGTCTCCTTGACTGGTGCAACCCCAGTAATGTTGAGGCTGCTGCTTTCCATCAGGTCAGTAATGTAAGCAGAAGTCCTGCAAGGGAAGGCAAGTCTGAGTGGGCAAGTCAGAGAAGGCACAACTGTGGAGGTCTGCTTTTGCTTGGGTTCTATCTTTTTACAATTCCTGGATCTTTGGCAAAGACAGCACAGCATAATTTGTTAGTTCTATGTATGATGTAGCATGTGATTTTGTCGCTTTGCAGGTCAGTCCTACCTGTGTTGAAAATCAACCTTTGTGAGGCCAGTCATTTCAGAGTCCAGGCACATTGTTAGGGGGAAATTTTGCTGTCATTGGTAATTGTGTTTTTTTAATGACATGCAAATTCAGTGTATTGTCTAAATAAGAAAGCTTTGAGTCTCTAACAAGGTGCATTCTGTTTTGCTTTCAATCTGATAGGTATTTGAGCAATGGCTCAGCAGCAGCAAGCTCTCTCAGAAGCTCCTTTTGCACCTCGAAAAAATCATAGCTGATTTAATGTCTCAGTTTCTAGATGACAGAGAAACCGGGAAACTTTTTTCAGACATAAATACCCTTGTCCAGCAATGGAATGAGAAATCAGATGCCTATTTTTCAGAAGGATATAATGCATCTCATGATCTGTAAGTTATACTTATCTTTCAGCAACTTGTCTTACAAAATTCAGATCAACTTGAAAATTGATTTTTACATCACATTTAATTGGTTTCTGATTTTTGTCTGTTTAGTTTGTTTGTTATTCTGTAATTAAAAAACCTCATTTAGAGCCAAAAAATTGTGCAGATGCATATGTATTCTGAAAAAGAAATTAAATCTGCAATTCAGAGTAATAGCTGCTTACAGGTACAGTGGAGGACCTGAGTACATGATCAAGATTCATAGGAATGATCAGCAGCTGTATATAATTAAGCATTCTGAACTAGGACCTGAATTGTTTTTCTTGTTCTACAAACAAAGTGTAATTTCCACAAGTAGTTGCTGTGAGTCAGTCGTGCTTCTCATGGATGTATGCTATAGGATCAATCTACTCATATACAGCAAGTCCAGTGCATCTGAAATTTTTTTGTTATTTGTTATAGGAGTCATACTCACGCTGGTTAGTTCAGGACATCTTGGAACAGAAGCCTACTATGGAGAGCAGAATTGCAAAGCACTGCTCTGTGTTTATATATAGATGTAGTTTCCAATGTTATCTAGGCACTTGGAGGCTGAAATTTCTTTTCATGTTTTTGAACTCTCCTTAGGGTTTCAGGTTCCTCATTTGTCTTATCACTTAATGCAGATGTCAGCAGTTTATATGAAGATATGTCTATGAGTTCTGTACTTATTCAGTATGATTTATTTTTTGTTGTTGTTGAAGCAGTCCAAATCTTCCTGTACAATAGTTACCCTTTTAGCATTTACCACTAATCTAGTAGAAATCTAGTTTGTTGCAACTTCGGAAATGTGTTCTGTTCCCATTTCAGGACAAGTGCAAGCAAGCTTGCAAAGCAAGCAAGCTTTACAAGCTTGTAAAGATTACCTGTGTTTGAATTTCAGGTATTCTGGTCACAGCATATATTTTAAAATTAAATCAAGACAATTGTTTTGGGTGGCTTATACAAAATAAAGTGGTTTAAGAGCTCTGTTTTCCTCGCTGTTAAAAGCCAAACCAAAACCAAAAAGAATTTTGGTCAATGACCTGGAAGATTCTACTGCAGGACTTAAATAGGAGTTAATATCTGTCAGAGCTGGAAGGCCTCATGAAAGGTCTTTGGCAGAATACAGGAACTGGTAGTTCTCTCTTTCAAACTGCACACTGAAAGAATTGCATTGCTTCTGTGAGTTACAATGTTGGCCTCTATTAGGTCTTGAAGGTATTTGACTCCTTGTGCTTTACAAGCTTCATTATAATTACTGATAAATGCATACTTCTTTAAGCTAGTTGCCTATGTTCAGATTTTGATTTGAATGTGTTTTTTACTTTTAAGTGAGTTTTGTCACAGTTTTGAAAACCAAAGTGATTGTAATTTTTGCTATTTCAGGTCTTGTGGTTATTAAGTTTTGACTACTGTTTAAATGATATTTGAACTTTCTTTGAGTAAATTAAACATTATTCTAAAATTATAAATGTGTTTAACCAATTCTTGTCTACCTGTGAGGTAACTGATAAGAAAAAACTCATGTTTAATTTTTCAGAATGTTGACATTTTTCAAAGAGTTTTTGAAGAGAGAAGAAAACTTATGGATTTCTGGTGAAAAGCAAATAGATCATCTTTTTCATATTGTAGACGTCATAGAAGAAATTCTGTTTGATTTCTCAGCTTCTCCAAACAAGTCTCTAACTGAAAGGATCTTGAATAATACAATTATATGGATGAAAAAAATTGCTGAAGGGAAGCAATCTGCCACCAATTTCTCATTTGCAGCTTCTGAACTCCATCATGAGCTAAGAGAAAATGTCCAGCCTCTTCAGAGATTCTGGATGAAGAAGAAGACCGAAGTTTTCTGGCATATAGTGAAAATTATATTCTATGAACTTGATTCTAGCCTTTCTCATTTGAGTAAAGAGGAAGAGGAGGAGGCATTAGAGGCTTTATCTAAAATTATATTTTCCATTACAGAAAATAAAATCCTTAATAGAAGTGTGCAGTTGCTCCAAAATATCCTGACTGATAGGCCAGAGTTCAATACTGCTGCTTTGGACCGTCTAAAACACTTAAGTGAAAACTTTCTAAGGAGTCTCTATGAGGTCAGATCACTGACTGATGATCCTGTCAATGTGCCTTTCAGGACAATTCATGGAGAGAGTAATGCCTCCTCTTTTTTACTTGCAAATGCAACTTTTATACACAAAGTACAAGAATTAGGAGAAATTGTCCATGATTTCTTCAAAAACATCCAACAGTTAAACAATACTAATGTCGCCTCACTTGTTTCAATACTTTTCTCTCTGTATCAGAATGATGATCTGTTTTTAAATATTGAGAGCAATAGCACTCTGTTAACATTTCTTTATGAGACTTCAAAAGATATTTCATCTTCCCAAGTATGGCATGATTTCCAAGATAGGAACCAAGTTTTTGATTTTCTGTCTGAAACTTTTGATCTTCTCTGGAACTTCACCAGTGAGTCTCTCTGCGAAAAGTTACTCATCATTTACAACTACACAGAGTTTCAGGCCCAGTCTCTTGCTCAGAAAGGCAAAAAAGAAATGCAAGTTATCTATAGCACTCTGAGCAGCCTTAAAACTTTGTTTATAGATGAAGACCTCCAAACAGAAGCCTTCTGTTACTTGGAACAGTTTCTTGATATCTCCTCAGAATGCCTGGTAAATAAGGGGTGTGTTGATTTTTATCTATCAAACAGTACTTCTGTAGATAATTCAGCAGAAGTTTACAACCTACTTCTGCTTCCATTGGACAGTGTTCTGTCTAATGTTATGATCTTAGGGAACAAAGTAAGCGTGCCTTCTGCTTTGCACTGCACTTTTATGTGGCTTCAAACCTGGACAGAGATTTTTGAAGAAGCATCCAAAATCTTAAATTTGAATTCAACCTTTTTTGTCTGTCTAAGAAATGATTTGGACAATCTCTCTGAAAGTCTTTTAAATACAACTCATTATGAACTGTGCAATAATACAGCTATGGTTGTTGTCGAAGCTACAACAGCAGCAATGAATCTATTAAAAATCATAATTGAAGGAGGTGGAGATTTGAATGACTGGAAAGATTTTGAATCTTTCCTTGCTAATCTTCAGAGTGTATTTAACAATTCAGTTGATGTCACAAGCTCACTTGAAGGTAACAGTTTAGAAAATGGTTTAGAAATAATGGCAGTCATGATAACTGAATTGCAGAAATCTGTGCTGGAGGTTGTTAATGGAGAGTTCTTGAATTCTTGGCTTGATACTTTAATCTCAGGAGGATCCGAGGGAGAAAGTAGGGATGCTGGTGTATTTTCCATGGGAAATTCCCTTTCTACTATTCTCAAACTCTCCCAAAAGGAACTTGGAATTACTATCTCTGAGATAAAAGATGTAACTGCTTTCTTTAAAAGTGTACGTCAAGACAAATACATGGTTTGTATCAGCATTTTCCAGAATATTACCAGACTGATTTTGGATGAGACTCTGAAAAACTTGAGTCATTCGCAAACAAATTTCTCATCATACCTTAATTCCTTTCTAAACTTTTATAGTACAGTGGATGAAGCAGAGGATTGTAACAGATGGATATATGGATTAGGTAAAATCAGTGAAAAATACAAGTCACCTTCCCACCTTGAAAGTGCAAAACGTACTTTATTTCTACTGAAATCTCTGGGAAATATTGAGACAGATGCTAAACTAATGAATGTGGTGGAGTTTGTTAATTTCATTTTTAGTTTGGTACTCCCTGAATGTTCCCTTAGTGGTTCTAGTGTGATTTGTGTAAATGTTTATTTCAATATTATAACAGAAATTGTAAAATCTATTCTCCCTGAACTTTATGTAAAAGATGACATTAATGCACTTGAATTTATTTTTATACTTTTAAATAACACTGCAGGGCAAATAGAAATGGTTGTCAACGATTTAGTGAGCGATTCACACTATACATTAAATAAGACCCATTTTAGTCAGTCAATCCACGGATTTAACAAGACTGCAAGGATGTTACTTAATCCTCTTCACCGTCTTCAGGTTTCATCAGTAGAACTTTTAGTAGAAATTCAAAGTCTTCTGAAAAATAAAACTTTTGATGTCCAAGAAAACAGCTTCTCTCATTTAGATACTGAGATTGAACCTTTCTTGCATGCTAAAAATACCAGTTTGCTGATGGAGTTCTTTCAATATGTGATTGGTAAACTTGACACAGACTTGCAGGGTGAACACAAAACATTTATCCAGAAACTGATAGAAACAACAGCTCTGAATATTGAATTGGTAAGGAAGGCATTAAACATTTTCAAGTCTTCTAGTTTAACTGGCTTTCCATTAAGAGAAGATAAAGAGTTTCTAAAACATATGCTAGCTCTGGTGCACAATATGAGGGACATGGATGTTGAGTTCTTGGTAAGTCAATTCAAACAAGTCCACAGGACCCTAGATAATTTCTTTAAAAATAACAAACCTTTGTATAATGAGAACTCTGAGTTAGGAATGTTAATAGACTGGTGGGATGCATTTGAGAATAATTCATGTAATTGGAACCTGACTGGCTTACGACAAATAACACAACTCTTTGGACAAGATGAGTTCTACAATGTAGAAGAGATATTCCATCTCCTCCTCGATGTCATCAGCCTTGCAGAAAGAATAGCTCACAGAAATATCACGGAAGCACTGACTGAAGTCTACGCTTTCATATTGTCTCAGGAAGAAAAAATGACAATATTTTCCGAGGAGGAGTTTGCTAATCAAGGAGAAAGTCTTCTAATGTTACTGGAGATACTTGCAGATATATCTGATGAACCTGCAGAGGCCTCAGTTTGTTTTTCTGCAGCATTCTGCTGGACTCTCACAACAGCAACACCTCAGAGTGGCTCTGCTTTTGAACTTTGTGACTATGTGCATAGCAATTCTACTCTTACTTACAGTGAAGTCATCAAAGTCATTAAGGAGCTGAAACTCATCACTCTGGATGACAGTGCTTCATGCATGACTGAAGACTTTCAGACAGATATAATTCACAATCTGACCTGCTTTTTTCATCAGATCAAAGAATGGAACTCCATTCTTTTGAAGTTTTCTGACCTCCATCACATAAATGGCTCAGTTCTCAAAGAGCTTCTGGATTTTTGGAATGAGCTATTCCTCTATGCTGTGCCACTGCAGGTGAATAATACATACGTAACCAACAATTGTTCCTCCTCACCGAAGAGACAAGTGGCTTTACAAATTGTAGAAACACTGGGCAGTATGCCAGTGGCAGAAATGGAGATGGCCAAAGCTGTTCTTGAGCAGCTGAACGATCTATATAGTAGTTTAAATTGGAACAGACATTCAGAGTCATCATTTACACGGACTGTTCTTGCTAATGTTAACAATATGACCAGGGAAGTTTCCAGAATCCTGGATACAGAAGCTGTCCTTTCTTTTCTTTCTGTAATTCAGCCTTTAATGACTCTCTCTTCTGTTGGAAACCAGACATACTCGATGCTTACAATTTTATCATCTTTAAATGAAAACAGTAATATTTCTGATAACTTTGAGAACTTCTGGTTTCCTATAGATACAAACATTGAAGATTTATTGGTGAATTTTAGTGTTAGACACTTACTTGCGGTGATAGACCAAGAGTTTCAATTACTAAGATTTGCCACTGGACAGTCCTCTTCAATGGCTCTCGATGTTTTAATACAGCAGTTTAATACATCATCTCTAGATGCTATGTTAAGAAATTTTGAAGACATACAAGAGATTGTGAGCCACTTTCTATGTGAGTGTAACAGTAAACATTTTTCTGAAATAACACATGCTCTACTTACCCTTGTGGCTAATGAAAATTCGTCAGATGATCTACTACTGGTTGTCAAAGACATTATTGACTTTCTGGAACTATTCCAAAATATGTCTAAGGAAGATTATACTGATATATTGTTCATTGATGATTATGGTAGCAGACAAAAATGGAATAATACTTATACTGCTAATTCAGTTTTGTTAAACAGTCTCCTTCATATAATTGCTGATCTTGCTGTTATAGACGAAGATCTGCATGCAAACAATACTGAGCTTCAGATAGTTGAGTTCATTGATTCATTTTTTGATAATGAGAAATACAGAGAAGTTTCTACTCAGTCACAAAACAGAACTCTGGAGATCATGCAAGAGATCTTGCAAATGATATTTCAGTTGACTACCGAACATGACAGGAACAAAATAACTGTCTTACTAAAGGATTTCCAGAAGGATATAATGGCAGAAATGAGGTGAGTGTTTTCTATGTACTTATTTTGACAGTGAGCTGACAATGAAAGAAGGGTTTTTTTTTTTAAACAGCTAAATCAAAACTTTTAAGTTAATTACTGTTTCATTTCAGATCTGCACATTTGATTAAAATAATATTTTGAATCAACTTATATAATTCAGAACAGCTGTATTTGCTATCACATTATATTGTGTGGACCAGGCTACTGGCTTTTTTATTGATACTCTTAAGTGGTTTCTTTGGAACTATTATAGAACCCAATATTTTAAGATAATAATGTCTTAAAATCCTTGCAGGTCTGAAAACTGATCCCACAGTTACTGGCAGAGAGCAGTCATTTTGGCTATGGAGCTAAATATTAAGGAATGTTTGGGACTAATGTTTTGTGATTTCTTCTTATTTTTTTATTTCTATATCCAAATATAAATATGCTGCTGCTGACTTAGGTAAAAAAAGATGGCTCTTTTGTGGCAATGGTTATGGTGTGGTTTGTTTGACAAATGCAGTCTCTGAAGGAATCTTGAGTTTAAGATCTTTTTTTTTTCCAGATTAATCAAATCAAATGTAATCCAGCAGCAGAGGTAAATCTACTTCAGGAGAATGTTTACTGACAATGTATTTATTAAAAGTACTACTAGATTGGAGTTGCTGCCTGTGAGTAATACTCACTGAATGAATCCCACAAGATGGTGGCTACAAACAGCCCTAGAGAGTCTTGCTGGTGGAACTACTGATCCTACTGACATAGACCAGCTGAGAAACAACGCACTGAAGTTTACACATGACTCTTGTGTGGTATTTAGAACTTAATGTTTAATGTGGGAAACAGGGCCAGGTATTAGCCAAATCTGTTGCAAAGTCAAAATATTAAAAAGGTGCTCTGCTCTCTGCCATATAGATAGTATATGCTGTGGGTTTTCAGTATTTCTGAAACTCTTACGATTTTGCTAATTTTGCTAAAGCACTTTCTAGCACTCCTAATGTCTTAGAAAGCTGGTGACTTGCTACCTTGATGAAAACCTGTTTTTTTTTGGTTTTTTTTAATTATTATTATTTTTTTTTAACATGGAGGCATGGAGATGTTATATTCTGATTTTACAACAGCTTTAGTAACTGTTAGTACTGAAATCCTTGTATGGTCCATTGAATATTGAAGCCATACATAATAATTTGTTGAAAAATTTTCTGTGGTACCCTTGTTATGAAAATTACTTTTACTTACTAATCTTTCTACAGAGCACTTAAAATCTGCAAGAATCTGCAGAAACATTTACAACCTGCTGGTGTCCTGCTGTTACAGAAGTTGCAGTTTGCCATTTTGAATGTTCTTAAAATATTTTCAGGTTGGTTATCACAGCAATGACTGTATGGGTTTATCATATGTGTTAGTACTGCAACATTAGGGCTTTATTCTGTGCAACCTTTTGGAGAAGTTAATTTAGGTGATGACAAGCAAGGCAAGCAGACTGATGTCTGGAAGTTAAGCAACAGAGGTACAGGAAAAAAAATCATGCACTTCATGTAAAGGGATGGTTTCTTTCTGGAGTGGTCATGTTGATTTGAAATATCAGTGGGAGCAGGAGGTCATGCAGATCTTCTTTCATTTTTTGTTGTGTGCTCTTTCCCTTTCTCCTGGACTTACTCTACCAGGAGCACTTCATTTTTAGGTTTGACTCACAAACCCAGCAGAAGACAATATGCACATTTGGGGTTTGTCTTGTCTTTTCTACTGGATACTTTTTTTGCCAGACTAATTAACTGAATTAAGTTACAGAGGTTTGTTTGTTTGTTTGTTCTTCATATGGCAGAATTGCTACAAGGCAGCACATAGCTGACAGAAAGAAAAAAGAAGCAAGTATATGAAGGGAGTGGCACATTCCATTTCTGGTCATGTTTAGCCAGTCCTGCCTGTGGCTGAATAACTTCACCTTCAACACATATTTAAAATTGGAACGTGCTAGGCTTATTTTATTCCCTGCATATAGGCCCCTGGGATGAGCACTTTAAGAAAGGCTCTGTATTGACCTAAGGGTGTAATTTTGTTTTATGCTTTTCCTGGGGAAAGCAAAGCCTTTGCTTTTCAGAGTTCCTAGTTTAACACACCTGTTCCCAGGACTGTTTGCAAAGAGCAATTAGGAGGCATTAACCTGTCATTCTAGAGGAAGGGATGAGATTGATGATGTCTCATACCACCTTAATTTCCAAACAAAACTTAAAATGTGACTAAAATCCAATTCTGACTATCTTCTCCACTCTCCAGTGACTGAGTAGTTCCCAAACAGCAAAACAGTAGCAATGTTGATGAGTGATACTGAAAATGTGTGCCAGTCATCTGGGAACTGTCTTCAGCCTCTGAAGAACAGTCTATTTATTGAGAGAACTCAGCTTAAGGAACCGAATTTTTGTCATTTGTATTTCAGTACACAGATTATAGAGATGTTTCATAAAATTTCATTTGATACAGAAAATGTTAGAAAATCTAATGAGAAAAGATTAAAATTACTTGACTGGATTTGCATTACTGAGTTGCATTGTTTGCTTGTTTTAGAGACAATGGTGAATATTTATTGCTATTCATTCTTGATTTATGAACCAAACATAAGGAAGAAAACATGTGAAAAATAATGAAGTTAGTCCTTCCACAAACTAGAATTCAATTGTCAAGCCAATCCTTCCTTGCTGTCCCATGTACAAACCCGCAACAGGCAGGGGAATGGAGCTTTTTTTCAGGGACCTGGGGACTGCAAGCCTGGATAAAAACTTCCTCCATGGGTGATCAGGTGATCAATATCCCCTCTACGGATTCCTTATCTCTAGATATGCAAAATGTCTATGCAGTGCTGTTTCCTCCCTTTGCAGGTAGGGTTTGAAGGTTACTACTCACTGGAGGGTTGGTAATATCCTGATGTGTCCACAGGGAAATAAGACTGGGGAACCCTGCCTGAGGAGGAGGTAGATAGATGTGGTTAATATTCACAGCTTCTCAGAGTTATGCTTCTTGCTCACGTTCTTATTATTGATCAGGAAAGTGTAGTGGAGAAGACTAAGGAAAATTGAATCAAACTAACCCTTCTTGCCCTCTGCAATGATAAATATATTTAGACAGAAGTAGTTTTTTGGTGCCTTGACACATCAGACTTTCTTTGCTTTGAAAAAATTGTATGTCCCTTGTTATTTGATTAACTTTTAATCGGGTTACAGCAATTTATTTATTATTCTTTTTACCTGATTAAACCTGAATATTTTTTCTTACAGAAGAACCAGTTGTCACTGGCAACATTCTCTGTGTTGTTACAAAGTGTAAAGAGGGATTAACTAGTCACTTACTCCTCTCTGTTACTGAAGTAATCACTGTGGTTCAAGATCATTATCAGGTCTGAGTGGTTTCCACACCTGCAAGTATTCTTTACAACATGCATTGGAAACTTTGGAAACTAATGGAAATTTCTGTTTTGTTTTGTTTGTTTGTTTGTTTTGTTTGTTGTTTTTTTTTTAATCCTACTGTCTGAATGATGAGTCCCTACAATGGCTATACAAAGCTGAGGTTTGTATGGGTATAGCTCTGATAGTGATACCCAGAAGGAACTCCTTCAATAAACGTTGGTGAGCTTTGATAGCCATAAATATAACTAGAATTACTGTAATTCCTATAACTGGAATAACTAGATTGCCATTCAGTACCAAATAGCAACCCATTTTTAATTCCATTACATTTTGTGATACTGCTAATTTAATGAGTCAGAGTAAATTTATAGTTTTAAATCTTCACAGGAAGTTGTGAAATCAAGCTAGATACAAATAAACTTCTTGGCTGGTCATTTGTAGTAAAATAGCAATTGCGGTTACCAGTTGGAATCACTCTGTTTTTCTTTAGCAGTGCATGAAAGTATCAAAGAAAAGAGTAACATTTGGCATTTCGAGACTCATCCAGAGTTAGAAACAGGCCTTTGTATAGCACACACAAAGGTGCACACACAGACAAAATACTAACATTGCACAATCAAGCAACCTTCAAGCAATAATATAATCTCATGAAGTTGCTAATCGTATGATCAATGTGCTTTGCAGGACATTGAAAGAGTATGGCCTACTTTCAACAAGGGGGATTGTGAGAGTATGGCATATATGCACCAAGAACTTTCCAACACCTTGGAGAGCTTCCTGAGAGCCTTGCAGAATGCCCACAATGGCAGCTGTGAATGTCGACTCACAGGGAACATACAGAGAAAACTGCAAATGTAAAGCATTTTACATTTTTGTACCCCAACAGTTCTTTTAGAGATATTATTTTGTGCATATATCTGTGTTCTAAATTATGCAATTACAGAAATACTGTTTTTCAAAGTCTCTTTTACTTTGTTTGTTTAAACTGAAAATTGAGCAGTACACAAAGTAAGTAACTTTACTGAATTGTGGATAATTTTAAAAGGCCTTAAACTTGCTGATTATTTGCAGCAGACCTTGCTTCTCCACAAGGAGAGTGCTTTGAATCCCAACTGAGAATATTTTCCATTTTCCACAACTTCAGTTAGGTGAAAATTTTGATATCTTAATTTCTTATTTAATTCTATTTTGGTATGGGCTTGTCCTCCCAGCAGCTGGATATCTGTTGAAAAACATTGAAAGTTCAGATCAGTTCAGCAGTTCAAACAGTTAGAGACAGAGGATGGTGCTTGTAAACAAACAGGCTTTAACTCCAAATAATTTCAGATTATTATATTCAGATTATTTTTCCTTGAGGAAAAATAGTAGGTTTTAAGTAAATTACTAAAACTGCTACTAGAGTATTTCAAACTTGCTGTCAGTTAAAAGTCTTCCTTTCTATAATTGTTGCTGTACTAGTTTCACTGTTCAGTTATTTTCATAATGGGCTTGAATGGTCTCTCTGAGCTATAGTAATAATACAGGAGAATTTGAGTTTAGGTGCTGGTCTTATGGACCATAGACTTGTATCCAGTTTTTTAATAGTAAGTAATATGTGGTGTAGTCTTTATTAGTTAAATTTCATTTTTTTCAATAAAGGTTTTAAAAATGTGTGTTCAGTAAGAAACAGATGTGAGGCATTGCTATACCTGTGCTTCTCCATAAGCTAGTCTTTGCAGGAACCATCATGATGTCTATATTTACAATCTCATTTAGGTATGAAATACGATGATCCCTGCATCACATAAATACAGCATGAGAAGGTTTGTAGAGTTGTTTACTGCATTCACAGTGAGTGCACAGAGAACATAATGTGACCCTTTTGCCTCATTTAGTGGCTGTTTCACTATTACACTTTATACAGGGTAATGTCAATGACTTAATTCTGATAACTCGTGAAACTAAGGCTGTCGTTTCAGGGTGGCTGAAAATTTGGAGCTGCAATTGTCAGAATATCCAGTGGCAGCTTTTCTCAGCAATTTTAATCTTTTGAATGGTGGGTTCCAATTTTCTTCACTTTTTTTTTAATGAGTGATTGCTGTGTAATTTTGCAGGACAATAACTTTTGCCTTGCTTTTCAAACTTCTAATTTAATGCAGTATATTTTAATTGTACATATGTGCATATACATGTGCTTGAGTTGGCACAGCACAGCATAGTTTACCCTGCCAGAGCCTGCCCAGAGTTGCAGGAATTAATTTTAAAGAAGGGACTTCAGTTGGTGGAAGAAGAAAATCTTAAAGGACTAAAGGCTGCTTCACTTATTCACTTATTCCAGGTGTGCTCATAATACAGGGATCTGGGATAACCCATGCTCTTAAAGGATAATGCAAGCATATGTAAGAGTCCTTCAGTCTGCCAGGAGAGTGACCTTTATATAAGTAGAAATTAATTACATTATAATGAAGTTTGTGTGTCCTTTATCACCACCCAGAATAAACCGAAGAAAAAGGGGGGCAATTTTATTAAGCAGATTGGTACAGTTGGCACTATTTTTCTTCTCTTACAGATGTGAAAATCAAAGAGTGTGTGCAGAATCTTACACGGCTGAGGCTGGACATTGGGTCTTCTGTCAATATTTCTGAAGAAACTGTCAGTACCCTATTGGAAGCCAGTATCTCTCATTCAAAGGTAAAAGATCAAAAAGAGATGTTAAATTAATGGGTCAATCTTTAGCCTGATGAGCAAACTGAAACAAAACAAACCACTTTGTTTGTTTTGAGTCTTATATTTTCACTTGCCACTTCTATGTAGAATATTTTTGACACGACTTCAAAATAATGATGTTTAGCATTAAGAGATCAATTTCTGGTAGTCTTCTGGTCTAGATGATACCTCTTCATTACTTTCACCAGTGTTATACCCCTTTGGGCTGACACAGAATTTGAACTTTGTTGTTTTGATACTGTAGAAAAAGTAAAGATTCCTGGAGCAATAATTTTTTATCTGTGTACCTCTGATCCTTGAAGTACAGTGTTGTCTGATTATTTTTTTTATGCCTCTGTGTGCTCCTCATTGTTCTTACATTATCTTACCAGTACCTTACCTTACCTCCATTTATCTGTTGTCTCTTGACTAGTGTTTAAAGGGTGGATTGTCTAAGCTTTCTGAGTGAGGGACTGTGTGTGTTATAATTGCTGCTGTTTCCTGTGACCCCAGTGATTAGTAGAAGTCGTGAAAAATGTCACCTAACTCGCAGGTGCTCTCTCTCGTGTTTAATGTTTTTATAACTAGAAAAGAGCTGGAGGCATATTTGTTATAATCAGGTGAACTGAGCAGCCACTGGGTGTCTCTGATGCTCCATCTGCAGAAACAGTTGCAAGTTTGTGAAAAGCGTGACTATTAAAAAGGCAGTTCAGACCATCGTAACTACTTACAGATGATTTGTTCTTCTGTTTCTTTGGCAGTGTGACTGCTTGTTTTGGTAGGTTGTTATTTTGATACCAGTAAATAATGAGAGAAGTAGTGTGGAAATTATCCAGTTCATGGGGATTCAGTGCACCATTGATCTTTTGGAATAATAATGCTAATTATGTGAATTTTCAAGTTTCTAGACTTTTTTTTTTTTTTTTCCCATAGTCCTATATAGAGTATAGATATATGTGCACATTTCACATTTGCATATTTATGCTGATTTATTTTTTCTTAAGTGGTTAAGTCCTCGCACAGTTGGAATTAGGCATTAAAACCTATGTCTCTTACTGATTATACAAAATGCACAAACATAATTTAGGCATGCCCCTGTATTTCTGTGATTGTCTACTAATACTGTCCTTGCCTCTGGAATAGTAAGAATAAACCTTTGAGTTGTTTGTGCTTAGTGCACTTACCCTTAATTTCTACCACAATATTACTCTGGCTATGCTCACTGTCATGTGATCAAGTGTTTTGAAACTGCTCAGAACATGTAACCTAAAGATTATAAGCATTCATTTGCCAAACCTAGGAGTTTGGATTAGCTCTGGTCCTCACAAAGTTGCGAGAAAAGTTCAGAGGGACTTAATCTAGTGGATAAAAATCTGAATGGATTAAAAATGGACTGAAATGGTGTTATTTATGTGGGACATGGGGAAATAAATTTCAAATTGTATTCACAAATTTTCTCCACAAAAAGAAGTCTGAATCAGTATTCTTTTATGCTGCTAGCAGAGTTATATTTATATTCATATTCATATTCTGTTCCTTGCACGCACACAAAAAAGCGAATATTTAAATACATAGGAAATCACAGAGACAAAATGTTGGTCCTTGATAAAACTCATAGAATAAAATGGTTTGGGTTAGAAAGGACCATTAAAGTTCATCTATTCCAACTCAAAATCCAAAGATCAAATTAATAACTTGGAAATTAAAATATTCATAGGAATGAGAGAGTTAAATTGCGTATCTTGACTAACTTTGGCTCCTAATTTGATTTTCTTGGGGATCTTCTCCCTCACTGATTGCTGTTGCGGGCTATAGATGCATTCATTGGAGAAAGCACAAGCAGGTTCTGTCCTGCAGAGTACAGTGGAGTCCTGAGTGCAGTACTTTGGCTCCTACAGTCTCTGAACTTGTAAGTTTTCTGAACTTGCTGCCATTTGCTTTCTTTCAGGCATTTTAGTAAATGGTAGCTAGTAACTCCAGAGATATCTGGGTTACAAGCATTTGTCTTTTAGGATAACATTTTTGTAGGCAGCAATAAACTGCTGTTATCCAAGGAGTTTTTATTGTAGTCTCACCCGAGGCCTGCTTATGCATTTCTCCCTTTGTCACTACTAAATAATAGCACTTCAAAGGAGTATTGAACTGAGAAATGTGAGCTGGCTCTGAGTGATTCCTGTGCCGTATCAACATCTGTGTCAAATTTGTGTGTCCTCTGAAGGGAGGAAGAGTGATTCCTGTGCCATATCAACATCTGTAAGTGTCAAATTTGTGTGTCCTCTGAAGGGAGGAAGGTCCATATTATTTGATTTTAGTGATCAATTCATCTAGATTTTGATCTTTAGGTGTCTCTGCAACAAAGGTCTATATCTGCTAGAATGAGTGTGTTCAGCATTGTAAATATACCTACTTATGGTATGAGTGCTGATAGAATGAATATTCGAGTTCTCACAAATAAAGTGAATCTTTATAAGAAATGTACTGAATCTCCTTATATATCCGCAGAGTATAAAGTAAGGACATACCAATCTGATATAGGTCTGTATATTTCATTATTTCAGGTCTGTTGATGACTAAAAATTTTCATGTTACCATAACACACATTCTCACCTTCTTGAGTATAAAAGAATGTGGCATTTCAGGGAGAACTTCTTTTAATACGCATGCATTATGGTAGGTTTTTTACAGTGCCTTTGTGGTAGCTTTAACTGGAAGATGTGATGAAGTACTCAGCCTGCTACTAAAGCTGCCTGAAAACAATAGAACTTCCCTGGTAGTGGAGGAATTATGTTCTTTACCAGCACTGGACTTATATACTATGTTTGTACTGATTATACAGAATTTGAACTTACGCCATATAATTTACAAGGTAAGACAGGGGAAAAAAACCATTTGATTCATATGTTTTTCTTTTAAGCTTGTCTAAAGCATGCAGGTAGATATATGAATAGTTCTATTATTTCTTCAAATGTGCTTTCTCTGTGGAAGAAAGCACTGGATGTATAGCCTCTTTTTTTGTTTGTTTTCATTTATATCCATGAAGCAAACACAACAGTTGAAGAATGGGGTTTGAAGATTCTACTGTATTCCATGTCTTGCTTACTCAGGAAATTTGTCTCTAGGGAGTTAATTATGAAAGCTTCAGAGAAAACATAGGTGAAGATGCAGTTATATTAATCTTTAGCAGAGTCTGCAGTTAATGCAATTAGTCACTTCTTGATCTGTAACTGTTGCAAGACTGATCAAATGACTGTAAAAAGAATAGTGCAGTGCCAAAACTATATTAAACTGTAGAACTGTAGATAATCTGGGATCTAGTGTGGGGTTTCAGTGAGATATTTTCACTTATGAGAGCAAATTTTTTTGGATGAGATTTATGATAACAAATGTTTATTTCAGTTCTTTTGGGTAATTAATTGACAGAATAAAAAATGTTGTAAATACTTAAATAGTTGAAAAATAGTTATAATATTGGGAGGAAGAACATTTTGTTCTAAAGCCATAGGCACCAGGTTATATTCTGGATGTTGTGTGCAAGGCTAAACAGATTTGCCACACCCTTTTTAAAAACAGAACCATTTTCAAGAATAGGTTGACATACCTGAAGGAAAAGATAAGATTTCTTCTTTCTGAATTATCTGCAAACCTAGAGGGCAAAATCCCCTCCCCCAACCAACCAGTGCTTATTCTGGTAGGCTTTTCTACTGAACCTTATTGAAGCATAATGAATTCCTAGCAAAGAACAAAGAAATGGTGACAGCTTAACCTATATTATTGTGGAAGTTTTGCTATTTTTTTTAACTGAATAATTTCCAGGGTTTTGGTTTGTTTGTTTGTTTGTTTTTGTCGTGTTTTTTTTTTTGTGTGTGTAAAAACAGGTAAAGGGCTGAGAAGAAAATTTAAGCATAGACTTTATTGTAGTAGGAATTCAAATAAAGGTGGATAAAATAAAGATAATTAGAGGAAACAGCTGAAATTATGTAATGAAATTATATTGGTTTTAATACCATGCATAGGCAGGTAACAATGAATCAGTTTGCATTACCATAAAATCTAAGTAAATGATTCCTAAAGCAACTAAAATTGTTGTTAGATTTAATTTAACTTACAAATTATTTTCACAATATTAAACCGTTGCTTTGAGCATCTTGAACCTGTTGAAGAAAAAGTTCTCATTTTCACTGAATTCCAAGGGGGGCATCATGTTTCAGATCCCATTAGAATCTTGAGTAGGAGAACTCTCTTCAGCTTGGTAGGGATAAATAAGTTTTCTGGATTTTAATTCCTACTTTTTCATAGGTCAGTACTAATATTACCAGATAATTTTTTGTTAGCTGAATTTGAGAGTAACTGAGGAGTTATACTGATAGGAATTTTGTTAAACATGGTTGGCAGTAACATTGCATAAACAGTTTTATAAAAAGACTGAATAAGTCAGAGTGTTTCATTGAAAGGTTAAAATTTGTTTCTAATTGGAATTTATTGTTGTGATTTTTCCTTCTTTTCCAAGATTAAGATACCATCTGAGATAGGCAGTGTATTAAACATGCTGCTGGATGTGGTTTCTAGTATCAACGCTCTTCTCAATAAAACCCACCATGTCATGGAAAACCTTCCAGGGTTCCTCCAAGGAATTCAACATATTGGTGTGCTTGACATCTCTGCATTACAGCAGGTACGTGTATGATTTTAATTTGCAAACTTAATTGCCATAATGAGATGCTTTTTTAGGTGTGTGTGCTTAGTATGGTGGAACAGTAACAGAAATTGTGTCCTAGAAAGTTGGGAACTTCAGAGGAGAGTCCATAGACCTAGGAAAACTCATTTGTTTTCTATCAAGCACTCTGGCAATTTTGAGATAATTAATGTATTGTTTCTGTCATATCTTTTTTTCATTAATTTATGAGATCATAGCATAAGTTAATATGGTGTTAGGTTACTGAATAGTAATAGTATGTAGTATCTGTGATTTCATAGAATCATAGAACTATTCAGGTTGGAAAAGCCTTAAACACATCCAGGAATGGTGACTCAACCACCTCCCTGGGCAGCCTATTCCAGTGTCTAACCACTCTTCCTGTGAAAAAAAATTTTCCTAATGAAGCCATTCCCTCTTGTTCTATTGCTAATTACCTGTAAAAAGAGACCAGCACCAACCTCTCTACAAAAACCTTTCAGGTAGTTGTAGAGACTGATGAAGTCTCTTCTCAGCCTCTTCTTCCTCCAACAAAACATTCCCAGCTCCTTCAAGTGTTCTTCATAAGATTTATTCTCTGGGCCCTTCACCAGCTTCATTGCCCTCCTCCAGCACCTCGATATCCCTCTTGGATTGAGGTGCCCAAAACTGGACACAACACTTCAGGTGTGGCCTCACCAGTGCTGAGTACAGGGGATAGCCATGTATTTTCTGTTAATGCTGGGTTGTTTTGGTGTTTTGTTTTGTTTTGTTTTTAATGATCAGATAAATTGTTTATAAGAAATAGCTTTTTTTTTTTTTTTTTAAAGGATAAGATTTCAAGATTGCATGTGCAGTTCTTTTATCTGCCAAGGGTTTCTGTTTCTGTCAGCAGTTAAGGTTTTTGTGTGATAGTTCTGCTTGACATTTAAAAACAAGTGGCATGAGCTGTGAGTGGGGATATTTCTTTTGTCCTTGCCTTGCAGGGTGGTTGCTGTGGGATATAGTGCAAATTCATTTGTGACTACAGTGCAAACACTGCCTTGAAAACTGTTTTTCCTAGTGATATGAATCTTAAAATCTTCTAATCTTTGTGACAAAGAAGCATACTGTAAAATGCTGTTCTGTGCATACTAGTTTTGTTTTTGAGCCTCTCTTCTTTGGAGTACTTCTTGGCTGCCACAATGAAAGGTGGCTTTCATCAGATGCTTGCATATTTTCTGCTTCCTTAACTAGTTTTGTTTTTGTCAGCCTTTCCTTTGAACAAATGAAGTGTTATTTTTGGAGTGAAATCCCAAAGCTGTTTATTTGGTACAAGAATATCTCAGAAGTTCCTGCTCAAAAAAAGTTTACAAAGGAATAAATGGAACAGCAGAGGGCCATCTAGTCACAGTTTTAATCTTTGCTCCATGACAATCCACATTATCCTGTAACATAGCATAGATTTAACCTTGGAATTTTTATTCCTTTTTACATCTTACCTTTTTTTGGTCACTTTTTCTGACAGTCTTTATTTTCTTAGTTGTTAATTCCTTTTTTTCTTGAGAAACTGCTCTTTGTTTTTATCACCTAATGATTTGTGGAGGATTACAAAATTAGTGTCAATTTCTTTTGTTAATAGATTAGATGATTGATGTTTGGAAGGGCTCTTCTGTCTCTCAAACTTTCTCATTTTGTAGACTAGTAAAAGTTGTCTATTTTTAAGTATCCTTTCATTTTCAGATTTAACTGGATTTTTTCTCTACTTTCCAATAATTCCTGTAATTATTAATTATTTTGTTTGCTTCTTGCCTATAGTGGCCAAACTTGTGCTACTGAATAAGTATGCTACTTAAATGCAGACATTGCTTATATACTTTCCTCCTTAAATATTTTCTTTTCTGTCCAAAAGAGTCCATCCTTCTGCATTTGTATTTTAATTATAACCAACAGTAATGTCGCTTACTGACCTAGAAAGTTTACTCAGTAAATTATGTAGAGCTTTTTAAAGTAAAAATATGTGGACCTTCAGCATAAAGTAAGACAGATTGTCTCCTTCATTAACTTGTAACTGAAAAAGTCATTCTAAAGTTGATAAAAAAAAAAAAGTTATCACTTCTACAATGTAAGATATAATAAAGTAATTGTCAATTATGCACATGGATTTTTGTCTGTAAAATGTGAAGTTGAATTAGTATGCAACACATTGTGTAATAAAATATGATGTAAAAACTCAGTATCTGCCAGTCAGTAGCAATTGGAAGAGAGAGACACATTCTGCTGTTAACAACATTGAGTGAATGGATAATACCCTGAGGAAAAGTAGTGCTGATTTTGACCATGACTTTTGCTTGTTTATTTGCTGTTTGAAATTATTTGCTTATTTTTCCATTGCTAGTTTCAGGTATGTTTGTCACTCATTAATAGATAAGGTGGAGGGGACTTGCTGAGTTACTGAGTGCTGCTAGTTGTGAAAGTTGGCCTCATCCTGTAATCCCTCCACTAACCTAAACAAACTGTCACTTCTGAAAAGCCTCTTGGTGTCATAACTGTATAAAATTCTGATTCAAGTTTATCCATGGCTATGTTTACCCTTATATAAAAAAATGTTCTGTACCTTCTATAACTTCTCTGACTTGCCCACGTGTTTGTGGAAGGCCAGTCATAGTCTTTCTTAGCTTTAATAGGTTAAATAGTTTTAGTGTTCATTTATTTGTTGTAGTATTTTTCTTTTCTAAAAAACTCTCAGTTGTCTCAGACATCTTAGTGTCATCTTCTCATGCTGTGTTAAACCTAATCTTGCATGTTGGTGACAAGAAATGTGTAGAGTCTTTGAAGGGAATGATGGCTGATAACTCTTGTAGTTCAATGATGTCTGTACCTACTAAATGACTTCACTAATCTTGCATTCACCTTTTTCATAAACTGCATACATTTTTATATCTTACTTGATCAAGGATCAGTGATATACCCAGATAAACTCGATTTTATGACAGCATCTCATGGTTTCAGTTGATAAGTAATATTTTGCACTGGTAATTTTTATATTCGATTTACTTTAAGTTAGATAATTGGTTTCTTGCCATATTGCATTCAGAACTTTTTTTCTCCTGCAATGCCTTCTCATATTAAATTATAGGCATACTAAAGTAGTTAGCTTCTTTCAGGGCTAAAACTTATCACAGTGGACCTAAGATCAGTTTTGTAGGAATAATGATACTAGCTTCTCTGTGATCCAATGTTCTTCCTTTTAGCAGGGTCTCTGCAATATCTTCCTAATACCATTTTATATCCACACATCATTATTGGGTGCTGATTAATATTTTCTAGGGTGTTAGAGTTCACCTAGTTAAGAGATAGCATGTCTTTTTCTGGAAAAACTGTGTGCCTTCCCACATAAATGTTTTATTGTCCTGGAATGGTGATAAGGCATGAAGTTCTACTACTCACATACTTTTTTTGCCTTTAACTGTTCCCGATTTTATTATAGATCTTGCCCTGTTAAGCATCTCAACATGTCACTCATTCTTGAGTATAGATGAATTTTCTACTTTTCATTCGAATATTGCCATCTAAATTTAATAGGCTTCAGAAAAATAATTTAACTAAATAATCAATTTTGCCATTCCCCCCTGATTCTGTGAATTTCAGTACAATAAGACTTCATCTCATTTATGGCTCTACCTAGAAGTAGGAATATCTATTTCTCTGCATTTGCTTCTTTTAGCTCTTTTGTTTCATCATTTTTTAATTCTTTCACCTCCTTGTAGTTTTCCAGGAAAATTGCTTTCTTTCCTCTCTCCCTTATTGTAATTATTCTGAATTTATTTTAGTTTTATGTGGAAGTTGTAATCTGGCTTGACTTCTAGGTTTCTTTAGTTGAATAGGTGATATTTCTACTCCATGTTAATTTGTTTTTATTAATAATATATATTTTAAGCATACAGCTCTCCATTTAGTTTAGAAGGCCCCATGCTATGATGTTTTTGTCCCCATTTGAGAATTCAGTTCCAGAGAGCTTGTTACTCTTCAGTACCAGCTTTCTTCTTGCATTAATTTGTTGGAGCGACTGACTTGACTAATTACTTTGTAGGAGACTTCTTGTTTGGATTCATCAGCATTGGTTACAGACCTACTTCATTTAGTTTAAACTAGAACAACAGGATCAGAGATAAATTTTTGTGAACGTTCTTCATATATAGTTATGCCACTTTATCAAAGCCACATTTTAGGAAATGTATCTATTGAGTCAGTGGATATTTAATTGAAAGACAGTTAAGTAGATTCAGTCTGTTGGTGGCAGATACTGCATACATATTCATTATTTGAATTTCAAGTTATTTTGATTGGAACAAGAATTAATTAGCAAGTTTGTGCTCTTTAACTGAAGTAAGCCTCATTTATCCTTCTAGTGCAAATAGTTACTTATAAGGATTCAAAACCACTTTTATTCAACATTGTGCATAAATAAAGTTAATTCCTCCAGTAAAGTCCATGCCAGCAGATTTATTCAAGAGTTGTAGATGATGGTGTTATGAAATCTGGATATTATTTATTTAATATGCTGTATGCTGAAACTGTATGCAAAAAGTCTGATTTTGGGAGCAGCCAACATTGAGTTTTAAAAATCACTTTCTAATATTCCTCCAGAATTACTAAAGAAGCACCTGGCACTTCAATAAATGCATTGATCAGGATGAACTGTTTCTAACAGTTTAATCTCAAAAAACTGTCTATGATTTATTATTTATGTAAAGTACTTTACTACTTTGAAAATTGACTCTTCTGTTTTAAAAAAAACAAAACAGTGATAAAACACTAATTTATTTCAGCTTCAAATGTATTTGGTTGACACATCACAGTCTTTTCTCTGTTAGCCAGTTGTGCAGTCTTCAGATGATACCTAATAGTGCAGTTTTGTTTTTCTTGACAAGCATCTGCAACAGTAATGAATATCAGGTGGGCCACTGCATGCTTCAGTTGTACTCCAGCAGCACGTTGCCTTGCAGTTGTATCTTGTCTTGTAGCTACGCACCTGTACAGCTTCTGTGAGATGCCACTTACAACTGAACATATTATTTGAAAAATGAAGCTGCACAAAGGAAGCAGGTTTTGTATTTTGTTTGCTTTTTGAATGTGGTGAATGGTGGTGCTTAAACCCTAAAAGCAGTCAAATTGCTGTCATTAGTCATGAGCAGATGACAATAATAAATGCTGGTATGACTCAAGATGTGAAAAATCTAGAAGCACTTCTAACAAGTTAAAAGATGTACTTGAAAACTAGGCTTTTAGGACATGTGCACTTGAATGATTTCTTCTTTTATTTTCTTTTTTTTTCTTTTTAGCAACTTTTCACCTCAAACATTCATATGCAAAATGGTTTTGGTTGTTTCTGCTGTATTTGTGACACAGGAGTAATCTACCAGAGCAGACTTTGCAAAAACTGTCATTGTAATCAAGGAATCTATAGTCCAGCTGTATTGATATTTTCATTCCTTTTCTGCCTAACTGATACACAGTATTTTTCAAAGCTTAATCTAGGACATTATACTACTGTCTTTCATCAAGTATCCTGGCAATTAAAACTACATTACCTTCCCTGCTTGGCTCCCCCCTCCCATGATAAAGGCGATCAGGGGAACACAAAAGAGCACAGCAGGCCCTCATTCTAGTAGGCAGTTTCAACAGTCTAATTTAGTCAATCTCCTTGGATGCCAATATCGAGAGAACACCAGGGCTACTCCCAGAAGCTACTAAAAGCAACTTTGATTCATTTGTATTTCTTTTGTTTGTTCTAGTTCTTGCAAGGTGGGCAGTTCAGAAGTTCAGCTGTTGGATCCCTGGAGTCTGTAATCAAGGCAGTGTGTAAAGAAGAATCTTCGTTTTTCAGCAATGCAAACCTGTTCATTGATATGCCCAGAATCATGGGACTCTTGGAGGATAAAAAGGCAAAATATGGGAAGACTCAAGTAAGAAAAACTATCAATCACAGGTTGCATGTATGCATTCAGAGTTTAGAGAAGTCTTTATCTTTTAATGGAAATATTTATATACCAGCTGACATCTGTGTTGACAGTGTAATCCTGGGCATGAAGATTGATCAGTAAAAGTTCTGTGGCTACAAGATTAATTGTGAATGAGACACAAGTGATTCTGATTGTTTTCTATCTTTACAGATAATAAATAAGAATATTCCTGTCTTAGAGACATGTTTATTAGAAATTTTTTAAGCAATTGGTATTAAATATGTATCTTTGAGATACAGGATTGAAAATTTATTGCTGCATGCTTTTATTCTGTGAACACAAAGTTGTGGTATTATTTTGCAGTAAAATACTCAAGCCCTCTCGATAAAATAAGTTTTTTAATAGTTGATATTCCTATTCTCTTTATCAAGCGCCCAGAAAATCTCTTGGCTTTTATGTAATTTCGCTTTTGCTCCCTTTTTGACTTATCCTGATTAATTTTAATGCTATTAATAACCTTTTTAGTGCCTTAGTGCCCCTGTGCAAAAGAATACAGTGATACAGTGTCACTAGGGAAGGATCTGTGACTGTGAATCTTCCTGTGTGTGGGATAGCAGCAATCAGGCAGCTCTTTCAGGTTTTCTTTCCTATTTCAAGAATGGAATTAGCAGCATGGCAGATTAGAGAAATTGTTTGGGATTTAAGTCTCTTTCACAGTTGTTTAGGCCATAAATACTCTCTGTTTCTTGATGATTTTTTTTTTCTTTTTTCAAATATTGTCAGAACTCTGGAGTGTTGTAAAACCTTTCACCTTAGGACTTTGAAATATCTTTAAAGCATCAGTTAGTTCCAGCATTATGAGTGAATTAATGCCATTTCCCATATTTTAAAAATTGGTGAATGAGACAAAAAAAAAAAATAAAAATAATGTGAGGGCATGAAAAACTGGATTTTTACTAATTTCCAATAATTAACTTGTATGTATATTGTGTACCCAACACTCACCAATGACTTTCTGAAAACCAGAGCAAACTCAGATTAACAAATCATCTGTGTCTTTAGCATATTGGTGTTACTGACTGGCGCACTTGGAGCCTCTTAATTTTTGCTGTTACTTAGCAATGATTGTGTTTAGTACTGATTGTTTCCTTGAAGAAAGTAAAAATTTGGGCAAAGAACTGGCTGTTCTTGTGATGATGTATTTATGACACTTGTTTCACTTTCAGC